CGCTCTACCCATTGAGCCAATCCAGCCAGGGCTAGCACATTTTCTTTATACATTCATTCATTGATGGAGACAGGTTGTTTTATGTCTTGGTTCTTGTAAATAATGGTGCAGTGAACAAGGGGGTGCAGGTATCTCATTCATTTCCTTTGGACATATACCCAGAAGTGGAATTGCTGGACCATATGGTAGTTTTGTAAAAAGGACATATTTTTTGGTCTATAAGTAATTTTGTCAATCTGATAGGTGGAAATGGGCAATAACCTTTTCAATAAAAATCAGCCTGAGCCATCGACATTGACGGAGCAGCTTGTGCCCCTCAGCACAGGGCCCTGGCAGGGTATAGATTAAGCCGGGTCAAATGCTGGAGGCTCCAATGGACAAGCTGTAGGTTTGACTAGCACTTGCCCCAGTTAGTCATGTGCTTTCACATGCAAGGTCTCTGCTCTCCGTCATCACCATCCTCTGAGGTAAGTGTCATTGTGTTTTTTATAGATGAGGCGGCAGGTCCGGAGAGGCTGACTCCTCCAAATCACAGGGTTAACAAGCTAAGAGCCAGGGAGGAAGGGCATGCCAGGGTGGAGGGAAGCGTAGCAAGGACAAAGCCATTATTAACCCTGGGGTTGGGGCGGGGCCAGGCCTGGGCGTCAAGGCCGGAGCCAGACCAGTTGGGATGGAGGTGGGAGCCAGGAATGATGCTAAATTCCTTCCTGTGGGCTGCAGGGTGTGCGCTCTGTTCTGCTTGTGCCTGCCCTGCTTGGGCCTGAGGCAGAGGCTGCAAATATGGAGAGAGGAACGCCCTGCGTGTGGTAACCCAGAAGGACCAGGGGAAGAGTGGGGAGGACCTTTTCCCGGGTGCTGGTGGAGGGTGTATGATTGATTACATGTGTGCAGGCCTGGTCCACAAACTCCTGGGAAACCTCTCCCATCGTTCCCCCGGCTGCTACGCAGTCACCGCCCAGGGCCCTCCGCACAGACTCCTCTCCTCCAACAAAAAGCAGCCCCTGAAACAATCCTTGAACAACGGTGTCTCTAAGCCTCGGAGTTCTAAGGACAAGGACTGACTCTGACTTAACCACTTCTGGCTCCAGCGCTTGCAGTTTGGCCCTTAGCACTCAGTGGTTTGAAGACACATTTCAGCAGACTCTGGTGGGAGTGGGAAGCCAGTCGGGAGCTAAGTGACTTTCCCTTGAAATTCCATTCCCCGGGGAGCTGGGCCCCAGGGGACAGGTTTCCTGGGTCACAGAAAGCCCCGTGGCCCTGTCCGTGCAGAATCCCGGTCCGAAAAGGAGCCTCTCCGGAGGTGGGTCCTTCTCACCCCCGCCCCCCCCTCCCCCATCAAACCCTGGCGGCGGGGAGGGGCACGGTACCGGCCCCTCAGCCGGCACTTTACGGGGTCCTGCCACCGGCAGCATGACCGATCTGCAGGTTTACTGGTGTTTTGAGATGTGAGATGCTCAGAGATTGCATTCTGAACCGAGTGAGATTGTGGTCCAGGATCTTAAGAAAAGAAGACATATTCTCTCGACCTTTTTATTTTTAAAATAATAAGAAATCTATCCTGTGATTATATAAGAGAATGTCTTTATTTTTTTAATATATTTTTATTGATTTTAGAGAGGAAGGGAAAAAGAGAGAGAGATAGAAACATCAATGATGAGAGAGAATCATTGATCGGCTGCCTCCTGCACACCCCCTACTGGGGATCAAGCCCACAACCTAGGCATGTGCCCTTGACCAGAATCAAACCTGGGACCTTTCAGTGCGCAGGCCTATGCTTTAACTACTGAGTCAAACCAGCTAGGGCAGCAAATGCCTTTATTTTTAGTAAATGTATACATATAAGAAGAGAGAGAGAGAGAGAGAGAGAGATGCAAATAATTGGTGATTCTGGGTAAAAGGTGTTTGGAAATTCCTTATATGTACTGTGCAACTTTTCTGTAAATTTGAAATATATCGAAATGCATTGCTGCCCTGGCCAAGTGGCTCAGTTGGTTAGAATGTCGTCTGTACACCAAAAGGTTGCAGGTTTGATTCCCAGACAGGACACATACCCAGATTGTGGATTTGATCCCTGGTGGCGCATAGAGGAGCAAGCCAAAAAAGTTTCTCTCTTCTCACATCGATGTTTCTCTCTCTCTCTCTCTCTCCCTCCCTCCCTCCCTCTTCTTCTCCCTCTCAAATGATGTTTTTTAAAAGTCCTCAGGTGAGGATTACAAAAAAATTTGCCCTGGCTAGTGTGGCTCAGTTGGTTGGAGTGTTGTCCTGTACACCAAAAGGTTGCAGGTTCTAGTCCCAGTCAGGGCACGTACCTAGGATTTGATCCCTGGTCGAGGTGCATATGGGAGGCAACCAATTGATGTTTCTCACAACAATGTTTCTCTCCCTCCCTTGCTCTCTCTAAGATCAATAAAGAAAAAATAATAATTGCTGACCAAAAAAATCATAATTACAAAAACCAGAGGAGCACATTTAGGTAAATTAATTCTCATCCCCACCAGACTAGCCCAAGAATGTATAAATGTTTTGTAGGTTTTGAATTATTTTTAGCCAGTTGTCATCATGGACAATTTTGTAATCTGCCTTTTTTCACTCAATGTCAGCATACGCTATTTTCCATGTTACTACACACCCCTGGTAACTATCATTTCAATGATATATTATTCCACGATACGTCATAACTTACGCTTTCCTACTGATAGGCCTACCCAAGAGGAAGAAGGGGATTGATATTAGTCCATCACGAACTTGGTTCCAGGTGCTATTCACCATGGGCCAAGCACAGGCATTATCTTATTAGACCCTCACGATTCTACTATGATAAATATTTTTACCCCCAATTTGCAGATGAGTTGCTTATAACATTCCAACCTCATTCAATCAGGGCAGATTCAGGGTTCAATTCCAGTCTCCTTGATTCATCGGCCTCCTCCCACCCCCACCCCGCCCCGCCCTCATGCTTTCCCTCGGCTTTTTCATGACTGAAAGTTTTCTTTCTCCTCCTCTAACTGCCCAGCTCTTTTTCTGTTCTGCTGCTTCGATTTTGTATTGTAGTTCTTAATTCCATGTCTCAACTCTAAGGCTAAACTCTCAGTTCTTCCAGGCTAGAACTCACAGCAGGTTCATTTTTGGAGGCCTTGACATACTTAGCCCAGTGTCTTACACATAGCAGGAGGGCACTTCATTCTCCTTTAACAAACACTGTATTTGTGGAGGACCTCCTATGCCCCAGGCGCTGTCCTAGATTCTTGGGACACATCAGCAATTCAATAGAGAAAATGGAGCTCACATTCTGGAGGAAGGTGCTATACAATAAGGAATATGCATCTATAATAATAAAAGTGTAATATGCTAATTAGATTGGATGTTCCCAAAGACCTCCAGAGGAAGCCAGGACTGCAAGGGAAGCCCGGGCCCCAGGTGCCAGAGGGGAGCCGGTGCCGGCAGCCCGGGGAAGGAAGGCCTACTCTTGCACGAATTTCATGCATCAGGCCTCTAGTAATAAATAAAAAGTATATATTGTTAGGAGTTGCTAAGTGAAATAGAAATGGAGCAGGGTAAGGAGAACAAGGGGGTACATGAGGAGGGGATGTTTCAATTTTAAGTAATCAGAGTAGGCCACATTGAGGAGGTAACATCTGAGCAGACTTGGAGAAGATAACATGTGAATATCACATCAATGAACAAATGAACAAATAAAATAACTTTTATGATTCATTCTAACTACGTAATTAGAAAGCAGGCATTTAGAAGGGCCAAGAGCCCAAGTTTGAAAAGATCATTCCAAAGAGAGATAAGATCAAAATTTAAAAGAGTATACTAAGCATAAACAGGGTGAACAATGACTCATTCCAGAGCGAATGCCAATCTGCTGCCTCAAAGTCATTTTGGAGCAAACAAAGAAAGCTGCTTTACACGCAGCAGGCAGTACACAGGGGAGACTTAACGCCCCTAACGATGGCATAGGCTGAAGCAACAGGACAGTTCTGAATAAGATGCAGGCCCTGAGATCTGTGATTGAAAGTTGGGGATGTTTTTTGTTTGTTTGTTTTTAAATATATTTTTATTGATTTCAGAGAGGAAGGGAGAGGGAGAGAGATAGAAACATCAATGATGAGAGAGAGTAATTGATTGGTTGTCTCCTGCACACCCCACACAGGGGATTGCACCTGCAACCCAGGCATGTGCCCTGACTGGGAATCAAACCATGATCTCCAGGTTTATAGGTTGATGCTCAACCACTGAGCAACACTGGCTGGGCAAAAAATAAAATAATGTTTTGCCCCAGCTGGTGTGGCTCAATGGATAGAGTGTCTCCTATGGTCTGAAGAGTCCCAGGTTCAATTCCGATCAAAGGGCACATGCCCAGGTTGAGGGTTCGATCCCCAGTGGGAGGCATGCAGGAGGCAGCTAATCAGTGGTTCTCTCTCATCATTGATGTTTCTAACTCTTTCTCCCTCTTCCTTCCTCTCTGAAATCAATAAGAATATATTTTAAAAATAAATAAAATAATTTTTAAAACAACATTAAAAAAATAAGGCATTGCTGTTTTAGGACAATTATACTGTCCCCAGAATGAAATTAAAGGATGAATGTTAGTGTTATGACATATTGACAGGGTCAGGAAAAGTATAGTCTGAGTTCAGGAAATGCCATCTCCTAAGTTTTCCCACTGAGTGTAGTCTAGTATTTTCAGTTAGCTGACCTCAATTTTGTTTTAGAGACTTAATCCAGATATAGCCTATTTGCATGCTTTATCAGATGGAGACCTCTGCTCTGATTTCACAAAGTCTCCCACCTCTACCCTTCAAGATTGCCTTTTCTTTTCTTTTTTCTACATTGCAACTTCGGAAACATGAAGACTTTAGTAATTACATGAGCCACAGATATGAACACATAATTCACACAAGACAAGATACAAATTGTAAGTCAATGCATGGAACACATTCCACCTCAATAGTCAAAGAAATTTAAACTAAAACAAAGAAATACCTTATTCAATTAGAAGTGTATTCAAAGGCTATTCCCAGTAGAGAGGAGGGTCTGGTGAAACTTGTATGTATCATTAGCTAAAATGTGAATTGGCTCAGCCCTTTTGCAAAGCGTATAAAATTCACGCAGCCGTAGAAATATTAATGTCTTTTAACGTGGCAATCCCACGCCGGGAATTTGTCTTGGGGTAATGTTTCCAAAAAAGAAAGAACGCTGTGGTAAGATCTTCACTGCAGCTGTATCCATCGTAATGAAAAGGTGATGGGGCCAGATAGAAAGAGCAGTGGTTTGGGAGTGAGGTGTCCAGGGTTTGAGACTTTGATTGCAGGGTCTGCCACGTGGTGTCTGTGTGGTCTTGGATAAGTGACTCGATCTTCCCGAGCCTACGTCTGCCAGGATGGAAGGAGGGAAACCAGGTTGGGAAAGTCACGTGGGACCAGATTACGGAGGATCCTGACTGCGAAGCCAAGGTCTCCAGGCTCTGTGCAGTCGGCGGGAGGAACGTTGCAAGTTTTTGATCAGAGCTCTGCGTCAGGAAAATGAGCCCAGCAGCAGCGGGTAAGATTAATGGAACGAGCAAGAAGGTGGAAGACGGGGTGGGGTCTCAGGGATCACCAGGGCAGAGCAAACAAGGTGGACCATGCTGATGGAAACTCAGGGGGGGGCCCTTAGAAGGCTTCTGCAGTTGTCTATAGGAGAGGCAATGACTAATTAAATGAAACAGCCCAAATTGTCTAAGTACCTTGTGCGGGAGGAGACGTTATCATAAATCTCCAGCCTTCCTGTAGCATCTGTTTTATAGTCTGCGCTGAGCAGAAATATTACATAAGTAACACCTTATATTTCTAAAGCCCTTTACAGTTCAAAAAGTACTCTCATGTATATTCCCATTTGACCTCATAGGGTGTTTTTAAGTTGATTTTTTCTGAAGGGGTTTCCCAGCCATTGGAGCCAGGACTGTGCATTTTTATGTCCAGGATCCACTCCTCCTCTCCGCCTTCACTCAGCTGCCCTTTGTTCGGTGATAAAGCACTTCATGGTTCTTTCTTTTTAAATATATTTTTATTGATTTTATTGACTAGAAAGGAAAGGAGAGGGAGAAAGAGATAGAAACATCAATGACGAGAGAGAATCATTGGTTGGCTGCCTCCTGCACACCCCACACTGGGGATCAAGCCCACAGCTCCGGGCATGTGCCCTGACCAGGAATCGAACCGTGACCTCCTGGTTCATAGGTTAACGCTCAGCCACTGAGCCGTGCCAGGCCAGGCCGTCATGATTCTTTATTTTAAAAAGAAATAAAGGAAGGTTGGCTGAATAATGCACCAGGCTCCCTGCTTAATCCCTTTGAAGACAGAGCAGTCATCAGCGTGTTGGGTTTGAGCACATTTGTTTTATTTAATCATTTGTTCATCTTTCTCTGCTGGCAGTGGAGTTTCACATGTCCCGCCATATGCTGTTCCTGAGATGCTCTGTGCACATAAGTGAGAGCCCGGGAGGGCCCGGAGTTCCCTCTCCTCCTGTAGTTCCCGCCCTCCCCCATCCGAGGGAAATGCATCTCGCTCTGGGGGCCCAAAAAGGAATCCCAAGTCACACAGCCCCAATCCACAAGGAGTGGGACTAGCGATCACCCAGGAAATCTGAGCCCTGGCCCCTCTGCAGCTCCGGCTTCTCGGGATTCTAGAGCGCTAATGAGCAGGGCTGAGCAGTAATTAAGACTGTGCTGTTCCACATCACGCAGCACAGCTGCAGCCAGCCAGGAGGAGGGGGAGAGGGAAGACAGGAGGATGCCCCCAGCCCTCTCTCCCCACTTGGAGCCTGCTCTCCAGGGCTCTCTTTAGTGCAGCAAGAGGAGTCAGTAACGCCC